AAACCCCCTGTCTCAGTTTGGAAAAAAAAAAAAATAAAACAAACCCCCAACCCCCCACCAAAAAAAAAAAAAAAAAAGGCTTCTCTCCTGCTGCTTTTGTCTCCACCCAGGCTGCTGCTAAACCAGCCCAGATGGAGAGACAAACCCTGGCCCTCGTGCAGATAAATCACAGCAGGAGCAAAGCCCACACCTGTCCTTGGGGGAAAAAACCTCCCTCCTGGAGGAGAAATGCCAGGTGGACCTTGCTCGGCTGCTGGACTCGGGCAACAACGGAGCAAAGCAGGGCTGCAGCCTCACCAGCTCACAGACCAGCCCACCTGGAGAGAGCAGGACCCCGAGGGAGCAGCAGCACAGCAGGGCCGGTGGCACCAACACCCCAAAGTACCCATGCGGGGGGTTTCCAGCCTCCCCTCCAGAGCCAGCTCCGGGGTTCGTTTATCCCATGTAACCAGCCCCACCGTGCTCTGCAAGGGCAGAGGTGCTTTAGGGGAGCTGCTTTTTTTCAGAACCCACTGTCTCAGTTTGGAAGAAAAAACAATTAAAACAAACCACCAACCCACCAGCAAAAAAAAAAAAAAAAAGGCTTCTCTCCTGCTGCTTTTGTCTCCACCCAGGCTGCTGCTAAACCAGCCCAGATGGAGAGACAAACCCTGGCCCTCGTGCAGATAAATCACAGCAGGAGCAAAGCCCACACCTGTCCTTGGGGGAAAAAACCTCCCTCCTGGAGGAGAAATGCCAGGTGGACCTTGCTCGGCTGCTGGACTCGGGCAACAACGGAGCAAAGCAGGGCTGCAGCCTCACCAGCTCACAGACCAGCCCACCTGGAGAGAGCAGGACCCTGAGGGAGCAGCAGCACAGTGGGGCTGATGGCACCAACACCCCTAAGTACCCGGCAAATCCAGCCCTGAGGTGCCCTAATCCTGGAGCAGAAACACTGATGTGGAGAAGGTCCCAAAAACAAGCCTTCTCTCCTCCCCTGGCTTTCCCTGCAAGAAGTGGGTCAGCGGAGCATTTCTGCTTTCTCTCTCGTTTCTCACGTCAGAGGCATCTCTGAATGATTCAGGCAGCGGGAGCACAATGGCCACACTCCTGACACAGGGCTCCCTGGGGGGGTTCTGCCTGCAGGAACCGGGGAGGACAAGCATTTGGGGGGGGTCTCACGGGCCAGAGGATGCTCCCCATGGCCGCTGGCTTCCCACAGCTATTACTAAAGGATCTTTGCTCCCTAAAGTGTCAGAGCAGCCCAGGGAAAACAAGAGCAACCTCCAGGCTCACGTGTCTGTCATAAGTCACCTAATTAACCTGGTTGATTCAATGAAGCTCAGAGCAATTTCTCCGCCCTGGGCTTGCTTTGAGGGTCGCTGCTGCTGGGTCAGCCTGGAGATGGGGTCTTTTTCTTTCCCAAGGGGTGTCTGGTTTTTGGTGTCTAATGTGCACTGTGCTCGTTCATTTCCTGAGGCAGCCTGGCTGCTGCAAAACCTCCTGGAATAAGCCCCAAGACCCCAGGGCTGCTCATACTCAGCAAAACTTGCCCTGTACCCCCCAAGAAGTGGGTCTCTTCCGCAGACGCTGTGCCTGGGGCTGTGGGGAAGGGGCACTGTCCCCTGGCCAGCCTGCCTTCTTGATCCCTAAACCTGGCTGGCATAAATCCCAGCTGCTGGCAGGAGGGAGCAGAAAGCCCCTTCCTTTGCGGGGTGTAAGTAGGGGAAGCTGGGGGAGAAGCCAGCCTGTGCTGAAAAGCCCCCATGGCAGCTGGGGGGGGACAGTGAAGGAGAAGGGCTGTCACCTCCACCCAGAGTGGCATGAAGGGCTGGAGCCCACGTTTGTTTCATTTCCAGAAAATGAGAAAAGAGAGAGAGAGACGGCGGAGGAGAGAGAAACCCCGCTGAAAATCCCCGAGCTCTTGCTCTGACAGGGCTGAGCTGCAAATTTCCTTTCCGCAAACTGCAGCGTGCCCCCAGCCAGCCCCCGAGCTGGGGCTGTCCCTGCGCGGCTGCGTGACACCAGCGCGGATGTCCCGGCCGGGGGAAGGGGAATTCAGACCTTGCTTCTCGCTGTACTAAAAGCAGCGACTCGGTGGTGGCCGCGGCAGAGCACCGGGTGGCCGGGGCCACGAGGCTGGCAGCGTCGAGGTCACATCACGCGGGGCCACCGGAGTAGCAGCTTGGCAGTCCCAGGACACTGCAGTGGGGACACATTTCCTATCGACGAGGGACCTTGGCATCTGGCGGAGATGGTATGGTGCCTCGCTAAGGCGCCCGGAGGGGCATCGTGGGTCCATTTACAGGGCATTTTTGGAGGGCTCTGCAAGTGTGGACGTGCTGGGGGGACATGGTTTTGTTGCCGGCGTTCTTGCCTGGTACTGCTCGTCCTGACCGTGCACTGGAAGCCCGTATGGGCTGGTGAGCTGTGGCTCAGCCTGGCCACGCAGGATGGGAGGAGGTGGTCCTGCCAGGAGGGAGGGGAAGTCTGTGAGATGGGGAACGGCTTTTTGTGCCTCTGTCTCCTGAGCTGAACAGGGCTGCCGGCCAGAAAGGCATCCTGCCGGGAGCCCCAGTGGCTGTGGGGGGCTGAGGTGCTGGCCCCCGTGCCACCCTCTGTTCCATGCTTGGCCTGACCCTGCTGCACAGGAGCCCCCTGCAGCCCCTCCAGCCCCTCTCTCAGCCCATTTCCTTCCCTGCTGCGGGAGGAAGCCTGTCCCGGGTGATGCTGCACGTGCACCGGGAAAGATGGGGGCATGGGGCAGATGCTCAGGCCAGCGGGTGCCCCCAGGACCACGTGTAGGGGGAACCCCACAGCTGGCAATGGGGAGGTGGCACAAGATGAACCCTGCCTGGCAGCCCTTTGCCCAGGGCAGGGAGACAAAACCAGAGACACGTGCAGCGATGGGAGCCCACCACCCACCGGACGTGCAGGAGACCCCAGTGCCACCTGACATTGGTGTTCAGATGGCATTTCCGATGAAACACTGCCACCAGGCTCCCACTTTCCTCCAGCCATCTCTCCCTGTCGGCCATCCCCTCCTCGGCCACCACATCTTCTTTTCCCAGGGGAAGCTGCTCTGCTCGCTGCCAGCCCTGCCCAGAGAGGAGGCGGAGGGAGACCCAGCAGAGACATGGTGCTCTTGGCTGCTCAGTAGTCGGTGTAGGATCTGTCCGACAGTCTCGCTAACAGCTACATCTGATTACTGGGTCACCAAAGGGTGACCACGCTGCACCCGCAGGAACTGCCCTCTGATCTGCTGGGGATGGGACGACCTGGGCTCTCTGGGAGCGTGGTGGGGGCAGAGCCCTGACCCTGAGCAATGTCCTGAGGCTTTGGCTGCCCAGGAGGGCAAATGCAGGAGCTTTCCAGTTGCTAGAGAGTAAATAAAACCTTGTGGAGTGCAGTCTCCTTCTCCAGGTGGTTATGAGAGCAGAAGTCCTTGGGAGCATCCTGTCTACAGGGTCCCTGGGACTGGAAACCCACCTCTTTCACCCCCACGGTGCCTACCCCTTTGGCTGTGCCTTGCCCAGCCCTGGACACCTCAAACAGCCGGGTCTCAAATCCCAAACCTGCTGTGGGCAGCAGCCACCAGCCCCCACGGCACGACAAGAGTACAAGATGTCATTCCTCGGTCCCCCCTTTGGTTTGGGTGTGCACACACCGCTCCAGCCCGTTCCCCCCTAACCGGGGCAGCGCAGGAAACACGTGCCATGCGGCTGCAGCTCCTGACACGTCCCCAACTGCCTGAGGGAGGGGAAAGAGGTGCCGGGCTGTTTGTGAGTGGGACATCATGGCCACTGTGGCTGAGTGCTGCCGTTGGTTCCCAGAACATTGTCTGTTCCCCCACCTGGTCCATGCTGCCGGTGTTCCTGCTCCCACCCACGCCCTGGTTTCCATCAAACCCGCTCCTCCCTGGCTTTACAATCTCTCCGGGAGGATGTCTCTTATTTTGCCTGTTGTATCTCGGGTTTTCTGGCGTCGCCGCATGCCCAGGTGGGGAGTGGGTTTGTTCTGCAGGAGTTCAAGTGAGTTAACGGCTTGGAAATCGGAGGGACGGCCATTTCAGGGAGAGACAATAATGGCTGCCCCAAAGGGGCTCGGGGACGCAGCTGGGACCAGAGGGATATTCCCGACCGTATGGCCTCACGTTCAGGACACGGAGTTGCAGAAGAAGAAGGAAGGGGGGGGGGGGGGACACTCAGAGCGATGGCGTTTGTCTTCCCAAAGTCACCCTTAGGTGTGACAGAGCCCTGCTCTCCTGGAGATAGCCGCACTCCTGGAGATGAGTCACCATCCCTAGATGTGTTTAAGGGATGTTTAGATGTGGTGTTGGGGGATATGGTGTAGGGGAGGACTTTGTAGAGTAGGGTAGATGGTTGGACTCGATGATCCCAAGGGTCTCTTCCAACCTGAATGATTCTCTGATGGCTCATCACCTGGAGATGGCCGATCACCCCAGGACAGGGTCAAAGAAGCCCTGGGGAGGCCCGAGGATGGGAGCAGTGAATTAATTCCTCGTTTCTCTTTGCGTGCATAGCTTTTATGTACCCATTAAACTCTTTTTAATTCAACCCACGAGTTTTCTCCCTTTTACCTTCCCCACTCCCCACCCCACGGGGGGCGGATGTCACCGAGCGGCTGAGCCGCCCGGGCAGCCGCTGTTTTAAGGAACAGCCCAAAGCCCAACGGCCCGGCCCCGGGCCTGCCCCCCGCCCCCGCCATGACACCCTGCCCGCGCCCGCCATGACACGCCGCGCGCACCCCTTCCTGCTCCCGCGCGCCTGCGCCGCCTGGTCACGTGCTGGCGGCGGCCCGGTAGCGGCGGCGGCGGCGAGGGGAGGCCGGTGGCGCTATGGCAGGTGGGTAGGAGGTGGGCAGGGCCGGGCCGGGCCGGGCGGGACGGTGGTGGGTCGATCCTCGCCCTCCTACTCCTCTCCCCGCTACCGGCCCTGACCCCCTGCCCGCGCCCGCCATGACACGCCGCGCGCACCCCTTCCTGCTCCCGCGCGCCTGCGCCGCCTGGTCACGTGCTGGCGGCGGCCCGGTAGCGGCGGCGGCGGCGAGGGGAGGCCGGTGGCGCTATGGCAGGTGGGTAGGAGGTGGGCAGGGCCGGGCCGGGCCGGGCGGGACGGTGGTGGGTCGATCCTCGCCCTCCTACTCCTCTCCCCGCTACCGGCGGGTCCCCAGCTCGCCCCCTTCCCGTTCCGCCCCGTCCCGTCGGAGAGCGGGGCTGGTAGCCTGAGCGGCGCCGTTTCCATTGGCAACGCGCGGCGGCCGGTAGCGGGGCGTAAGGGCCCCGAAGGGTGGCAGGGCGCTCTGGGGGCGGCTCCCGGGACACGGCTTCTAAGTCCGCGCCTTTTCCTTCAGGGACGTGACCTGCGGGAGCACCGAGGGGGGTGAGGGGTCCCGGGGACGGGGTCTGAGGGGTCCCGGGAAAGCCCGAGGACGGGTCTGAGGGGTCCTGGAGAGGGAGGCCCGAGGACGGGTCTCAAGGGCCCCGGGAAGGCCCGAGGGCGGGTATGGGGGATCCCGGGGAGGCCCGAGGACGGGTCTGAGGGGTCCTGGAGAGGGAGGCCCGAGGACGGGTCTCAAGGGCCCCGGGAAGGCCCGAGGGCGGGTATGGGGGATCCCGGGGAGGCCCGAGGACGGGTCTGAGGGGTCCTGGAGAGGGAGGCCCGAGGACAGGGTCTAAGGAGTCCCAGGGAGGCCCGAGGACAAGCCTGGGGGGTCCTGGGAAGGCCCAAGGACGTGTCTGAGAGGTCCTGGGGAGGTCCGAGGATGGGTCTGAGGGGTTCTGGAGAGGGAGGCCTGAGGATGGGGTCTAAGAGGTCCTGGGGAGGCCCAAGGACGGGTCTGAGGGGCCAGGGGAGGCCCTCGGGGGAATGACATGGGGCCTGAGGGTTCTCAAAGCCCCATGGGGAAGTGACTAGGTGGGGGTCCTGTGTCCCTGGAGAGGCCCTGGGTGGGCAGGGGGCTGTGGGACATCAGTCCCAGTACTGAGCCTCTCCAAGTGCCTGCAGGTGTGAAGGAGGACTCGTTCAATGTGCTGGACCTGGCAGAGTACACCAAGAACCGGCCCTGGTGGCGCAAGGTCTTTGCCCCCAGCTCGGGGTCGAGCGCTGAGAAATACAACGTGGCCACGCAGCTGCTGATCGGAGGGGTCACGGGATGGTAAGATGTGCTGGGGTTGCCTGTGGGGACTAGCCGGGCTTTCGGGAACACGCTGACAGGTGCAGGGTGGTCATCTGGCAGCCTCACAGAGAGGGCAAGTGTCCAGGGTGCTCAGCCCACTGTGCCCCGGCACACTGTCCTCAGTGGTGGGAGGTCTTAAAAGCCATCTGTAATGGGGAGTGGGATAACTGAGACTATCTCCTAGGGAAGAAAATGGCAGCAGGCTTTAATTTTTGAGGTGAGAGAATTCTCTTTTAACTTCTGGCGTAGAGAGGTGGTGTTGAATTTAAGACGGGCAAATATAAGCCTCTTGGAAAACAAGGATACCTTCTTCCCAGGAGGTGGATGTGCTTCAGGCATCTGCACAAAATCCCTCTGTGGAGGTGGTTTATGGCACCTGTGGGCACGGTTCCTGGGGTTTCGTGTCGCTTGTAGCAAGTGCTGGGGCTGGTGGTTTGTGGCTCTTGTTGGAACTTATTCCTGCAGCAGCATTGCTTGAGTGGAAAACTTGGTGTAATCCCATTGCTTTGCTTCTTGCCCTGCCTGTTTCCTTTGTCTGGCATAAGGGTAACCGTCTGAAAGGTCTTCATTTTCTGATAAAAATACGAGCTGGCCACCTCTCTCTTGCGTCTTCACAAAATGTATGTATTCGGAAATGGGTATGAGGAAGTTCCTGTGTTGTTTTGCAATGTTGACAAGGAAACTGGGGTCAAAGTAAAGTCTGCTTTGGGTGGTACAATACACTAGCCCTTTGCTGCATGACTGAGCAATGGGGTGGTGCTTTCTTGAGTTCTGGTGGCTGCAGTGATGTCTTTCATGTTGGGAGGGTGTAACCCAGTTTGGAGACCAGTATGGCTTTAGACCACTGCTGCCTGCTTGGTTCAGAATTTTTCTCTTCTGAGAAATGAAAAGGAAAGTTAAGCAATTGTTTGGGCAACAAAGAATCCTGCCTTGTGACCTGCTCCCTCTGCTGTATCATGGAGCAGCAGCAGATGTGCTGCCTGAATTTCCCTATTTCCCTTCAGAGATGGTGCCAGTTTAAAAAAAAAAAAAAATTACTTGTTGATTTTGGTAAAGTCACATGTTTCCGATTACTCTTTTGGGAGGTTGATGTTGAAGAGATAAGAATCAAAACTGCAAAAGGCTGAAATGCAATAGTGAGAAGTAAAAAGCTCTAAAGCATCGCTTTTTGGCTGGGTGCAGATCCTTTCTCTTTCTCTCTGGTTGCATGTGGGTTTCTTCTGCCGTTTGTCTTGGGTAATTACTGCCAAAGGCAGCCTTGGCTGTGGGAAGCATGTTGAGGAGTGTGTGTTTGGTGTCTCATTCTCCTGACTTGGCTCCTGGTTGATTTGTAGGTGTACTGGATTCATCTTCCAGAAAGTTGGGAAGCTGGCGGCGACAGCGGTGGGAGGTGGCTTTTTCCTGCTTCAGGTGTGTATGAAGAGTGGGTCAGGCTTTCCAAGAGCTGTGCTGGTGGGGACAAAGGGCTGTCGAGTGATCGTTACCTGTTGAGACAGGTGGAGCCAGTTCCACGCTTTGCCAGGAGCTCTGCGTGGCCGTGGATGCCAAGGGTGTGTGTTCCTCGGGGCACACAGATGTGGCAGCAGAGCAGGGACTGTGGGTGTAAACTTGATGGCCAAAAGGTCCTCTCGCTGAGGGTCTGCTCACAAAGGCACGTGGGGGCTGTTACTGCAGGGGCACCTGCGTGAAGCAGGAGGCAGCTTTTGGCTGTGGCAAATCCCGCTGCTGCTGCAGGACTGCCTGGTCAGAACTGGCTACTGTACTGAGTCCTGTGCATGTGGAGATGGTGTTCCTGGAGGAACAAGCCTGGATGTGTCCTGGAACAGCCCAAGGGTGATTTGTCCCTGTCTGTGATATTCTTCCTGTCAGGCTGGCATGGACGGGGCTCTCTGTAAAGCATTGGGTAAGAGGAGAGAAACAGAGATATATATCTGTCCTCAACCATTTTTTGTGGTTTCCACAAATCCTGGCACTGAGGGGAGCTGCTCGGATGTGAACATCCAGCTTGTGCATCCTGCAGGAGGCAGAGCAGCTCTCGGGCCTCGCTCAGCACTCTTAATTTGTTTGCTTCTCAAGGCGCTGTCTGTGTGTGACTCGTTCTCCCCGCTCTTCTGGCTCTGCTTGTTCTGCTGAAAGCCCAAAAGCTTGCTCTGAGCAGGGAGAGTTTCACTGGTGAATCATCCTGACCAGATAAAATATTTAGAGAGGAACAGGCTATTAATAGCCGTGTCCACCCACAGCAGCAGGAGAGCTGCAGAGAGTCCCAACAACGTACGTGGCAGTTGTGAGGGGGAGGTGATGCCAGCTTCACGTTAGAGAATAGAGGCTGAAACAGGCTAAGCTGCAACACGTGCCCTGCTGCTGGGGGATTACTGTGGAGGACAGATGTTGCAGGACAATTAATACAGCTACAGGGGTGGTCCTTTGGCCAGTTTTTAAGTGAGTGTGCCCATCCTCTCAGCCTGCTGGACCAGTGTGTGGGAGGTGGCTGTCGTCAGGGAAGGTGGGTGGGCAAAAGGGGTCTGTTTAGCCATGGTCATGTGGGACTTCACCAACTTTCTTTCCCTGCCTCACAACTCTAGATTGCAAACCACACGGGGTACATCAAAGTGGACTGGAAGCTAGTAGAACGGGACGTGAACAAAGCCAAGCAGCAGCTGAAATTTCACAGCAGCGGTAACAAAATGTCTCCAGAAGTGAAAAGCAAAGTGGATGAGGTGAGACAACTCTCCCAGGGTGTGTGTGGGTGCTTAGCTGGAGGGCAGGAGAAAATGGGATTGACTCTTGGGCTTTTAGGGATCTTCAGTTGTGCAAATACAAGGAGGGGATGATTGCGTGACAGCAAAGCTGGAGAGACATCAAAGCTATCTATGTATACTTGAGACAACCAGGGTGGCTCCTGGACATGACACCAGCTCACCGTGTGTTCCTGCAAACCCCCTGGGGTTGGGAGGAAACGTCGTGGGGTTGTGGGGAGAAGTGTCTCTTCAGTCTGATGGGGAAAAGCAGAGTTCCCTGCTTTTTTCCCCAGAGTCCAGAGTTATCCTGGACTCTGCTGTGCCCTGGTCTGGCACAGACAGTCGGCAGCCCCTGTTCTGAGCACTGGAACAGGCTGCCCAGGGAGGTGGTGGAGTTCCCTTCTCTGGAGACATTCAAAAACCACCTGTGCAAGATCCTGTGCAACCTGCTCTAGGTAGACCCACTTTGGTGGGGGGGTTGGACTTGATGATCTCCAGAGGTCCCTTCCAACCCCATATGATTCTGTCAGAGTGACTGTGCTGGTTGTGAGAGAGCCCTGGAGCACGTAGGCTTGGACTGCAGCTCTTGGAGCATCTGGGCTGTGCTGGGACCAGACCAGTTCAGGAGCTTTACGTGCAGCAGGGAGATCAGGGAGGGGATATTATTAGGTAGAACACTTTTCCTGGATCTGAGCAGTGGCCTCTCTCCGAGCATCGCTCACCTTGGAGAACAGCCTGAGGGGTGTCTTCTGATGGGGAGGGTGCGTGGGTTGAACTGTTGTTGACCACTGTTGGCTCTTCTCTCCCCTGCTTAGGTGATCATCTTTCTGAAGAAGAATGTTATCCTGACTGGAGGGTTTGCTGGAGGATTCCTGCTCGGAATGGCATCCTAGAAACTGCACTCGACACTCCCTTCATGCCTAGTCTCCCCTGCCCTCCTCTACTGCTGTTCTCTCTCACTTAGAAGTCAAAGGATGTTGCCGACAGGCACAATCCCTTCTGCTCACAGGTTCCAGCCCTTATTTCTTACAGCACTGCTTCTGATTTCCAACTTTTTTCCCTGTCTGGGCTGTTAGGGTGCTGGGATTGATCTGAAAGCTTATGACTCCCGGTGTATCATTGTGATTCCTTTCCCCACCAAATAAGCCCAGTCTCAAAATTTTCTGATGAGTTGCAGCCTCATAAACATGTAGCGGCAGAGAAATCTCTGAAATACGCTTCTTCCCAGGTGCTCAGGCTGTTACATAGACATTTGTCTGCCGGTGTACGTATACAACAGCCATCAGCTCTTCACTGCTATTTAGCTTGCACTTTTTCCACCCTGGTACCTGGAAAGCTTGTGCTTCCCTCTGTGCAGAGATGGGGTGTGCAGTCCAAAATACCCTTGGCTGTCCGTGCGGGGGGACGCAGAAGTGTCAGGGGACAGCCTGGGCAGGTGGATAAGGAGCAAGTTCACTCTATCTGTGGTGCTGGGGGTTCTCCTGCCCTCCCCCAGCCGTTGCACTGCACGTAGATGCACATTTGGCTTCTCCCCTGCTGTTATTTATACCCCTTACTGGAACCGCAGCCCTGGCACCGCTGATGGAAACTGAGCGCCGCGGGTGACTCTCCAGGCCCTTTCCTCATCATGTGTTCTAAAAGCCACCAAGCTTCCTGTGCTCTAGGGCTTCTTTCTCCCTTGCCAGCCGCCTGCTCAGCCTGTGAAGCGTGCTGAGGTGCTCTCTGGTGGTGGGCAGGCTTCCAGCACGCTTGACACGTCTGTGTCAGGGGAGAGCTGGCAAAGGACACATGTGTTTCAGCTCTGTTGCTTACTGTAAATCACCTTGGGCTTCAGACTGGTGTCTGCCATGACTTTCTCTGGCCACTTTGGCATTGGTGATGCTCTTAGAGCCATAGCCCTGTGGGACAGGATGTACATCCCTGTTTAGGGCACGTTGTACTGGTGCAGGGTTGCTGTTGCCAGCTCTGCTGGAGCAGTGGCAGGAGAGGATGTGAAATCTGGAGCGTGGTCCTTTACCTGCCTCCACAGAGCACAAACTCCATCTCTGCCAGCAACTGAAATGACAGAACTATTGGGAAAAGCAGGTTGTGCTCTTGTGGGAGTGGCTCGTTTCCATACTGTCTAGGTTATTTTCTTTCCTTCTTTGCGTTTACCATTTCCACACAAAAACAAAAAAAAAGCTGCTGGCTTAATTCCACCTGCTGCAGCCCTTCTCCTGCAGGTGATGAGGCAGCCCAGATGCAGAGCTTGGCTCTTTTGGGACAGTCTGTCCCCGTGCGGCTGTGTGCAGAGCTACGAGAGAAAATTACCAAAAAACCACCCCAAAATCCCTTAGAGGTGTTCTGCACTGGCTGTGCTGGGCTGGCATTACCGCTTTCCAGAGTGTGGGGACTTGCATGACAGTTGGCTGATGTCCTCCAGCAGGTACATGTAGGAGTTCTTTCCGAGAACGTGGGCTTTTTTTTATGTTTTCCCATCCTTCAGTTGGAAAAATGCGAGGGAATGATGATGCACGTGGGTGATTGGGACACAGCACCGGGCTCTGTGGCTGCACCCCATCTCCAGTGCCACGTAACACCTTTCTGATCATCCCTGCTGCTCCCAGCAAGGCTAGAAACGGGGATCTCCCCACCCTGAGAGCTGCTGGAAGAGCTGGAACGGTGGGTTCTTCCACTAGAGGTTTTGGGATGAGCACTTGCAGTTGTTAATTGTGTTTCAGCTCTGTTGATTGTCAGTGTAGCAATTAGCTGAGGTTTTCTCACACCTTCAGGATCTGAAAAGAAGCTGTGGGTAATCAGGAAACAGAAGTTGGTCTCTTTGCTCCTCTCCTGCCATAGGTGGCCACCAAGGAGAATGAGGAGCAGCTGGACTGACTTCCATAAAGATGCTCTTCCTAGAAGCCATCTAGGAAGGAGTGATGCCATGCAGCAAATAGACCTTCAGTAAACTGGTGTTTGGGAGTTGAATGGCAGATGATGGTGGTGGTTTTGGGGTTTTTTTGATACATATTTTTTTGTGTGTAGGAACCCTGCAGGGCTGAAGGTGCGTGAATGGATACGTTCGTATCGCAGGGTCTCTCTCCTTCCTGGAGGAGAACGGCGTTGCTGCCCCTCTGCCTGCTGTGCTGTGTAACACAGCTGCTTCTGAGGTGCACTAATCTCCACAAAGCTTTCTCCAGCGACGAAGCTCGAAGTAAATCATTAATAGATGGTAGGGATGTTTTTTCAGGCTCAAATCAGTCACGGTTTCTGCCCAGCCCCGGGGAAGGGTGCAGTGGGTTCTGCTCCACGGGGTCCTGACTCGCTGCTACAGAGAGAAATGGCTCAAATGCCTCAGTTGCTGCTGGAAAGGTGAAACAAGTGATAAATTCCCAATGAGTTGGGTGTGAATGCAGGCAGGGAATGGAGGAGGACATCAGGATGTGGCCAATCTTTCCACTGTGCCAGTGTTGGGCTCATGGCTGGCACCCTGTGACGCTGTGGGCTCCCACTGGAAGCTTTGATGCGGAATCAGCCCCTGTGGGGAGGCACCATCACGGTTGCAGGTGCCAAGATGAGGTGTTTCCCCACGCCCCCACCCGCCCCTGCTCCTTTTTTGGTCTCGTCGCAACAACTTCTGGTGTCTGTTCCAGTACGAGAAGGTTTTTAAAAGAAAAACAAAAAAAACACATTAGGCTTTTAAAGTGTTTTTATATATTGTATGTAAATGCTTGTTGAAGTGATATTTTATTAAACGGTTTTGCTCTAATAGTTTCTCCGTGTGAGGTCTGACTTCTCGGGCACCAGCGGGGTTTTGTTTCACCGTGTGACTCGGGGAGGGGGAGCAGTTACAGCCCAGCCCGGTAGCCCGTGGCCAGCAGCTTTCCCTCTTCTCTGCAGGTAAATCCCTCTCCTCCATGATCCTGGCACCAGTCAGCCATGGGTGATCCACCTGAAAGGTGGGATGTTTCTGGGGCAGACCCTCCCTGCTGAGCAAGTTTGCTCCACTCGAGTAGAAACGGGCACGGAGATGAGGCTTTAATAGGCGCAACAGAAGCCTAAATACTTATTTTTTTATCATCTATCAGTGACTTTTTTCCCCACTGTTGCTGCTCAGACAGGGCAAAAGTGGAAAATGAGCTACTTGTCAAGTGTTTGAGCTGCTTTACAACATTGTCATCACTTCCCCCTACTTTCCAGGCATACTAAAACCCCTATTTTGTCTCGAGGGGTTTTTTTCAGGGGGGTGGGAGGGGAAGGGCAGCCCTGAATGATTCTCATCTTGAGCCCTGGGTTATAAAAATACCAAGTGGCTTCTATATTAAACATGATGATATCACTGTGAATGGCGGGCGAGCTGCCCGCTCGCGGCGACGTTGTGTTCTCAATAAACAACCAAACCCAGGCTACAGTTTGTTCCAGTTGTTTATTTTGTACCACGGTATTTCAGAGCGGAGAATACAGATGGTTTGCTTTTCTAGGCTTCAATACACTCAACTATTGTGCCTAGACTACAGTGGTCTGTTTATAGAAGCTGTATTTTATAAGAAGTAAGTAAGTTGATCACAGCACAAAAGTCCTTTACGGCTAGATCTAATGACAGAGTTAGGAGCCTGGTGGGTTTGAAGTCTGGTATTTAAAGGTGCCAAGGCCATGAGAGGGCCTCGGCACCCACTGAGGTGCCTGGACTCCTGCTACAGGGGATGGAGAGACTTAGGCAGCTCTGAGGGGTGATGCAGGAACCTGTCTACCGAGCTCTTCCTACAGGTCACAGGAAATTTCTGCTGCACGGGTGAGAACTTCTGAAAAGCCATCTCTCCCTTGGGGTCCAGACACAGCCGGTTTGTGAGTGAGTCTGAAATGCTGCTTTGAAAGCAAGTGCCTACGACTGCTTGTTCTGTCAGCAGCACCTAAATCCGTTCTTGGATCTAGCCCAGGGCTTTGTGTCAGGCCTCTGGGTGCCAGCGGGTCAAACTACGCTGGGTTCGTAACATATTGCTTAAAAGGTGTTCAATTATACATAAATTTATAAATTTTATATCAACAGTCTGATCTCTCAAATGAATATTGCTTTTTTTTTTTCTTCTTTTTTAAAAATAAATCCTATTCCTGTAGCAATCCCTGAAATGTTCCTGTAACATCTTTGTCATGCAAATAGCAGCGTGTAGGCAATTCAAATAGAAAGTAACCAAAAGTCTGTCCAGTGGGAAAGTGAGGCACTTGGGCAAAGTGACTTGTGGTCACTCGTGATCTATGCAAGACCTAGGAACAACCCCCAGACCCGATTCCCCTTCTTGAGCTTGGACCACTGGACAGGCAAATGTTGTCTGGAACTACTGCGTGGTGGCAGCAATACCTTTTGCTGTGTCATAAATGGGCTTGTTTTGTGTGTGTAACGCTTAAACTCACTCACTCTTCTGAGCTCGTTTCCTGTACCTCCCGCTCCGCAGGCCAGAATAACTCGGTTCCAGTTCTCCATTTTGGGAGCAAGGATGGATTAGAGGAAGGTAAGCATTCTAAAAACATCGAGTTGACTTTTCACAGACATGGGTGCGATGCAAAGACAATGCAGAGATGACGTTTTGGTACAGAAAACAAAAAAGTCTGTTAACCATCTGTTGGTACTGCGTTATATTTTTTTTTGGTGTGCCGGATGGTGTGGTCTCAGGAGCGATCTTGAAAGTCAGGAGCTTTCCTGAAAGTCTAAAGAAGGCTTGAAAAAAACACACACACGAGCTCTGCAGGTGAGTCCGTGCTCCGGTACCTGCTGGAGCCGCATAGTGTTACTGAGGTGATGGGGGAATTCCTTCTGAAGTCGCCTTCAGCTTTTCTCTCTCCCTTTCTTCTTTCTCAAACCCTGAACAACAGACGGATCTGCCCTTGGGGTACCGGGCGCAGCACCTCCGCATCTCCTGCAGCACGCTTTCACACTTGGACTCCACGTAGTTGTTCACTGGAAAACAAGAAAGAGACACTAAGTCTGCAGAGGGGAAACAGCTTTTTGTCCCCCGAGGGGACACATCTAACCCAGCCCTAAGCAGTGTTGCTCTGAGAAGCGTGAGGTGCTGACAAGGATTTCATCGCTTTCTCGGCTCTAAAACCACCTCTCTTTAGTTTCCACTATCTAAAGCCACGCAGAGGCAGCCTTGCTGTCGTGGGTGGGAGCGTCCTCAGTCCCCCAGTTCTGTGGCTGTCACATCTCACTGCAGTAAGAACGAGGTTTCCCTTAGTACCACCCTTCAATCCTTACTTTCTTTAGCCTGGCTGCTTTTAAGCTGGATCTTGTCATCCAAGGCTTTCAACCCAGCTGCCGTGTGACTGTAAGGGTCACAGCTGAGTGTGAATGTAAGAGCATCCAAGGAGGCCGTGGTGTGAGCAGGGACAGCGAGGGGTTTGTCAGAGGAAGGGGTGAGGAGCTTGAGATCTTGTCATCCAAGGCTTTCAACCCAGCTGCCGTGTGACTGTAAGGGTCACAGCTGAGTGTGAATGTAAGAGCATCCAAGGAGGCCGTGGTGTGAGCAGGGACACCCTTTGGCAGCGGGGGGTTTGTCAGAGGAAGGGGTGAGGAGCTTGACTGGAGCCAACCTCCTACTGGTGGCCTGGTGTGGGCAAGCTGCAGCTTTGCAGTGTGACCAGAGCAGGCAGGAACGCTCCACCAGATGCCAGAGGCTGAACCCAACTGTGACACGACCACCTTCTGCACAAAGGTCTCAAGAGGAAGGGGTGAGGAGCTTGACTGGAGCCAACCTCCTACTGGTGGCCTGGCATAGGCAGCCTGCAGCTTTGCAGCGTGACCAGAGCAAGCAGGAATGCTCCACCAGATGCCAGAGGCTGAAACCAACTGCACAAGAGCCAGTGACACAACCATCTTCCATACAAAGGTCTCGCCTCTAGCTCAGGAGGTCCCTTAGCCACATAACTACCCTCACCTCCTCTTGCTTTCCTTCCTAGGCTTCTCCTCTTGGACCCTGCGGAGCTGGGACATGGGGCTAAACAAGCTCCTGGTCTGAGCAGGCCTTTCTAAACAGGTTCTCCCCAGCCTTCCTGTAGGCTCCCTTCAGGTACTGAAGGCTGCTATAAGGTCTCCTCGAAGCCTCCTCTTCTCCAGGCTGAACAACCCCAGCTCCCTCAGCCTTTCCTTCCCATCTGCGCTGGGATGGGTGGGCTCACTGTCTTTGTGCCTGGCACAGCTATGCCCACCTCTGTCCTTTCTCCATGTCACTTTTGTGTCAGGCTGGGAGAGATCTCACCGCACCAGCAGGTTCAGGCACCGCGGGATGCGGGGGATTCCTCCAGCAGCCTTTCTGCCCTCGCGCTTTGCCGGCTGCCACCGCCACCCGAGGTGACAAAGCCCAGGGTGCTTTTGCAGGGCTGGCCAGCAGGCTGTGGGAGAGAAGCCCTGCTGGCTCTGTGAGCAGCCTGAGTCTGTGGCCTGAATTAATAACCCCCTGCCTGCCTGCAGGGAAGCGCAGAGCCACCCGCGCTGCCTTGGACGAGCCTCACAAGCACTACACAGCTCCACCTGCCACTGGTTTTTTAAAAGACTAAAAGAAGCAGCAGCAGCAGCAACAACCCAACGTGAGAAAGGCAGAGCACACGCTGGAGAGCCCAGAAAGCAGCAGCAAACACCCTCTGGTTAACGAGCAAGCCAGCCCCACTCTGATCACTGGGCTGTGGGTTCCCTAACCGGGCTGGGGAGTGAGTGACCTCTAACACAAGCACAGAGGTCACCCAGGAGAAAAAGGTTATGGTGATGTTACTGCTTTGTGCAAGCTGAGGAGGCCTGGCAGGCCCTTGGAGAGGAGAGCTAAGCCCTCTCTGCCGTGCCCTGCTGATGAGGAGGGCTGCAGCGCTCTCCTAACTGTTCCTCTGCCTGTGCAGGTTTGTTTCTAGAGCTACAGCTCCATCCAGGCACACCCTGTGTGCACACACCCTGCTACCTGCCAGGGGCACGCTCCTGAAAAGCACAGTGGTTAGTCATGCAACGGATAGCAAAACACAAAAGAGATCAACAAGTGAGCATTTGGTCTCACAAAGAAAGCAGGCAAGATCTTTTGGAATCAATGACCCTCTCCAAAACCAGCCTCTGAAAAGCCAGCATCTCCCAAAGGTCCCTTTTGCCCTCCATCCTCTCCACTGCGTCACTGTGGTCACTGTCCCTGTGTACTTGTCAGTTAAAGCTCCATAGGCATCCTCTACCGCATTAATTCTTAGAGGGAAAAATTGTTTTTTGCTGTCTGTCAGCTCAGCTGTTTCATCTGTGCAACTCCAACAACTCCACAGCAGGACAACACGGGAGCAGCAGCAGCACCCCAAAAGCAGAGCTAGGGAAGCACAGGGCAGAGGAGGGAGCACGGGGCAAAGAGCTTCCTCACTAACACTGAACCATTCAGATGAAATCCACACACAAACCTCCACCGGTAAAACAACTGGAATAACCTCCATGAAAGTTACAAAATTAACATTGTCACAAGAGGAACCAAACCAGGGTGAAATATTAGCTTTTAAGTGCTGTTACTATGGGGGGGAGAAGGCTCCAAACCACAAAAGCAGTACAAGTATCCAGACAAACGTTGTGGGACACGTAGAGGGGGTTGTTTGAGTTGAAGGCAGCTTCCAAAAACCAATCCTGGGAAAGACAAACACCTACCAATAACTGACTATTGCTTTTCCCTACTTTTTTTCCCAGCTGCTTTTCCTCCCATGCCCCTCCTCAGCCACGGGGGCTGTTGTGTCACCTGCACAGATTGCTGGAGCCTGCAAAGCCAACCCTCTGCTTCTCCAGCACGACCCCCTCTGCCCTCCCTCCTGTATTTCAGCTAACCTGCTTGGAGTCTGCAAATAAATTAAAGGCAGAAACGAGCTGCTGTGGAACTGGCCTGGCTGGTTTTAGCTGTGGCTTTGCTCGCCTCCTGCCTCCTCATCCCTGGGCTACCACCAGGAGTTATCTTCAGGAGAAGCTGAGGAAGGGCTCCACCAGGTGAGTTAGGAAGGACTCTTCCTCATAAGGCTGAGCTGCCTTGGCACAAAGGAGTGTTTTCTCTTATTCCTTCCATAAGGCAAATCCTTTTCCAAAAACCAATCAACATTTTTAAAAAATAACATCCTCTGCAAGTAACAAGCCTGCTCTCCTCCACTCAGGCTCCCAAAATTAGGTGATTAGATTATCACCTAATCTCCCTCGCCCCTACAAATATTTAGCTAAGCTGATCCAAAACAACTGGTACAGGTCAGCAGAGGGAGAGCATCTCACACCTTGAGGCCAGATCACAGATCCCCAACCCCTTCCTGACAGACATCTGTCCGACCTGCTCTTAAAACACCCCTGGAGCTAGAAGCTCTGCAGCCTTCTCATACGATCCACCTACCACCCAGTTCTGTGAGACAGCTCATTATACTGTCTGGCTCTCCCCGCCTACAGCCGCGTCCCAAGACAACACACGGGATCTCACTCCCAGCACGGAGAACACTCTGACAGCAGCACCACCTCACCATCACAAAAGCTCTGTTCTGCACTGATGGGGTCTCCTGATTTCAAATCAAGCACGAGGGAATTCTACCAAAACCATAGTTCAGCTCGCTTTGCAGCCAGGTGATGCTAATGTGCTCGTTTTCGTCCTTTTCAGAGCCAAAAGAGAACAGGGTTAAGTTAAAAGAATTAAGTTCCACCAAAGATCAAGACACCAAAAAGACAAAAATGACACTTGGTACCTTGCAAGCATTTCTGTATTGCACAGGCTTGTTTCTGGCAGGGATCCTTCTGGGACATGTTCAGAGAACTAAAATGATAGGAAAATGTTACTGTAGAAACAACGTGCTTTTCAGGGGGTGCAGGGGGGGAGGAAGGGGGGTGGCAAGACACTGCCCTAAAGCCAAGGCTTTAAAGAGCTCCCAATTTCCCTCTCTGTCACAGATAGATCAGAAAACATCTGTTGCTGCTTGCAGGTGCCTGCCAACACACACAAGAATTCTCTGTGTCTGGCTAAAGGATGATAATGTGGACAATGAATACGGGAAGTTTTATGTTGCCAGGCTTGATGGCCTTTTTCTTTTCTCTGGTCAAAATGTGCTCTTTTCCACTTGGATGCACAAAGATTCCAGCAAATATTCAAATTAACAAGGCTGACTATTTTTTAACAGTCCTGTGCCTCTACACCTTCTACTAAAGCATATATTTGCATAAAAGCCCTCTGTGCGACCTCTTACACAACCAAGGATTTGGTGTTAGTCATATAACAGCAGCTGGAGGAGGCATCTAAAAAACCAACCAAAAAACCCAACTTAGTTGGGTATGTCCCATGAAGACAACAAGGAGGGCTTTTTTGGTTTGTTCCATAAGAAAAGCTTTCGGAAATCCCACCCACCCCCCAAAAAACCAGCCTGGAGGTTAGCTCCAACTTGCTCAAATGCCTGGAAAGCGAGATTTCAGACACTCAATTTGACTTTCTGTGCCTGTGACACCCGTAACTGTGATCTTAGTGAGAGATCAAAAGCGATAACTGGTGGGACTCGTAGTTGGATGGGAGACCTCTACAGGAAAGCACCGCCGTTACCGAACGCGGTGGTGGGACTTCAGCTCCCTCTGAGCCACCGTTCAGCTCCCACCCCTGCCCAGAGCCAGGGAGGTGCCACTTTTCACATTTCTGATAATTCACCAGCCCACAGCACTTTTCAATATCACTAGGGCATCAGTTCCAGCATCCTGGCCAAACTCCACTTGGGGCAATTACATTCTGCCTACCTAGAACTCCCCCTGATGTTTCACTTGGACACAATACTCCTCTTCACTGCCTGTCCTAAACTCTTGTGTGATGTTGCTGTGTGTTGTTTAACTGCTTCCACCTCAGAGGTGGCTGCATTTCAGTGGAGAGAGAATCATTTATTGGACAAAATATACAACGACATCTTCCTAGAGCCACTGCTCCTGAAAGACAAAAATTCATATTAAAGAATGACTGGGAATAGACAGAGCACAGTACAAAGCAGGGGGAATGTCTCCACGTACCAGATTAATCACCAGGCACGAGTTTAAGCAGCAGTTCTTCAACACCACCGAGCTGTAAGCGACAAGGAAAAGTTCAATAGGTCTACAGTTAAGTGTGGCTGAGCTAATGGACTTCAACAAAATTAACAGTCCTTTGCCGTCCCTCAAGGATCTCAAATGACTTCACAAACAGGCATGACTATGGTCTATTGTTGCCACCATCCTTACCATGAGATGGTGCTCTATCTCCCAAACGCGAGAGTTACTATCCCTGTACTGCTCACCCTGGGACAGCTGCCACATATGAGGCAGCCGGGATGGGGGGAGCTGGCTGGGTCGCAGCGCCTCACCCAGGGGAACCTGAACTCTTTGGATCCGAGCCCTCAGCATACCTTCCTCCTGGGGGGGAGAAAAGTAAGAAGAAAGAAAAAAAAAAAAAAAAAAAAAAAAAAAGAGCAGGGAGTTACAGGCAATGGCAGTAGAGGCACCTCCGACAGCAAAGCTACAATCACTGGAGGGGGAAGCCCCCAAAAGGACACTTGCCTCTTCCGCAGCCACGAGCCACGTTTTGCGGTGCTCATCGCAGTAAACACCTACGCGTCGCACCCAGAGTCGGACAGGAGGAGTGCCTGCGTGCCCTCCTTCTGCCATTCCCCCAGCGGCGGCGGGACGCTCCCGTCAGGTGGTCGGCATCATCCCGCAGGACACGGGCATGGTCTCTTTTTAGCTCGGAACAAACACCGGCGGAGAAAGGCTCTCAGACCTGAAAAGGCACCTCTGGGGTGGCGTCTGACTGAACGGTGGGAGATGCTACGTGCTGAAAACGTCCCTAAAAGTCAGCTGGGGACACTAAGGTGGTGTCTAAGCGAAGAGAGATTTCGCCACAGGTTGTAGGCTGGGACGTGCGCGCTGTATGGCGTTTGTAAGGCATTCTGGGGCAAAAAGGTGCTATTGGTACAAAGTTAAACCCTGTGAGTATTGGCTTTGCTTATTCCACTAACAGTCCTATTAACAGTCTCGGTGTAAAATAGGGGGAGGGAAAAAAAAAAAAAGAAAAAGAAAAGAAAAAGAAAAAAAAAAGGAAAAAGTGGTTTACAGAGGAGTTCCGTGGCTAAGGATGGTCTAAATCCCAAAAGCAAAACTCGTGACAAGAGGTGAAATTAGCTTAACAAGAACGAAGATCAGTCTGGAGACAAAGCATGAAACTCCGTACGCGCCACTCTCATGTTTGGAACTTGCGGAGCTGTCATTGTGAAGGGTCCTTCGTCTCATCTCTCAAGGGGATGGCAGCATTGTCCGTTCAGATACAACCTCCTGGTGACCAGCTCTTGTGACCTTGCGTTGTTCGGCTTTTGGATGGTTACAGAGAGCCACCGATAGCAGCAGGGGCAAAGGAATTTTGGACATTGAGGTGGTTCTTCCTACCAGATTTTTTGTTTAACAGCAAGTTTATCTGGGTACCAGTTAGAGCAGGCTGAGCCATTAGCAAATGAAGGTCAGGGGAAATGATTCTCTCTTTGAACCCTAGAAGAGGTAATCAAAATGGTACAGACAGTCTTCATTCTTTATCTAGGTTTAAAGTAGAACAGAATTAAGCTGTAATACACATAACATCCTCCTGCTATGAAGCAGATGCAATATTCCTATCGCAGTGAAACACAGTGGTCTTCTGAAAACTTGTAAAGCTATAAGGCATATTTCAGACAGCAGCAAGAAAATCTGGGTACAAAATAAAGTAGGGAAAGTCAGGGAGAGAAAAAAAAAATGTTACACATTGGGGTATACATATATCACAGGAAATACACTTCCATGTTGCCTTTCTATATCTTACATCTACCTTTTTGAATCAAAGGATCACTCAGCCTTTTTGAAAACAAAACACCAACCACGGATCAGCCTGAACAGCAATGTCACAGTATTTTTTCATTTCCAACAAAGAAAACTTTGAATGTTCTTTTATTGTTTTTTTGTTTTTTTTTTTTTCTCCCATTCTGTTTGTTTCCTTGCTTGATGTGGGGGAATGTGTTATGTGCATTCTAAAAAGCCACCACTGTTCTGAAGACCATCCTGTGACGTGGCACAGCCATTCCAAGCAATGCCCCCAGTAGCTGGATCGCTGGCATTTAGAGGAATGTGAAAGCAGACTGACAAGCCCCGTTAAGGCCTTCAAGAATAAGCTACGAGGGTTAAAGGGACATTTCTCTAAGTCCTTTTCATTCTGCTTTACCCCGAGTCACTTTAAAAAAGTTAAGCCCGTGTGCGGAACCCACTTTGCCCAACAGTGAAACGCAGCAGTCGCCGCCGCTGCTCGTTTTCAGTCAGCTGAATGTAATCACCCAGGTTGGAATTTGGCCAGGATACTCTCCTACTCTGCAGCAAACTGCCAAAAGCTCCATCAAGACCAACAAGGCTCAAGGACTTGCTTTTATAACCCCATTCGAAGCTGGAATTTCTACAGCTCGTCATCCCCAGAAGCGGAGGACTCAAGACTGGCTTCAGTATTGGAAAAATATTACTCTGTTAAATAAACACTATTTCCTAAAGCAAGTAAACTCTCCGGGAAGGTCTCCTATCCAAATACTAACCCGGTTCAGTCTTGCTGAACTACAGGTAGGAGGACTAAAGCACAACACGTATGTTTGGGTTTATTGTGTATGGACATGGCAGTAATGGCAGGTACAGGACCGACAGAACAAGGTCTCATGCAGAGGACACTGTGCAGAATGGGCAGCGGTTAAACGTGAATTTTTTTTCACCCTTTGCCCCACTAATTTGTCCCAAACTTCCTCCGAACTCCATAGCTCTGAGTTCAGTTGCCAAAGTTCAAAGGCCCACTCTGGCCTCTCTTTCCAACAGCCTCTACGGCTGGTACGAAGGTGCCCCGTTAGTGCCACAAATAAAATCTGGAGGTCAGGCAAAACCGTCAATTGGGTTTGAAGTAAGACAGCTCTGTCTTTAGCACTCAAACATACAAAAGAAACAGGAGATTTGAAAAAGCATGCGCTCAGACATTCACACCTGAGACTAGAAGAAGGGAAAAACATATACAATGCCTATTTTTGCCAATTTTATCAGAAAGCAATAAAAAAGCCTGAAGGAAGACATGGGTGAAAGGAGAAGTAAGCTTACTTATATTTAAAACAAGTTGTAAAACCTGTTTCTTATATTGCTTGCTTTATAATCTATTAAAAAAACCCACCGCATCCAAAAAACCCATCAGTTTAAATGTGCAGGATTGCAGCGTCACCCTTTGACACAGATTTTAATGTTCCCATCAACGTAATTGCAGAGATCTGAGCTGCTTAAGGTATTGATTTGGGGAGATTTAAAGCCCAATCCCCACAGACAGGAACAAGACTTGCAGGGATTTGTCCATCTCAGTATCAGGGTTTAGAAGTTTAATGCTGTTCTGGGACCTGGGTGGATTTCTGAGCCACAAAATACATTAATAAATGTGAAAATGGCCAGGAGGAGGACTGCATCTTGTGACGAAGAGGATTTATTTGCTTTGAAATCAGGTACATTAAAATATTTACCAAAACAGTGAAAGGAATTGCTCCAGCTGCTGCTTGGACCATCCCCAGAGCTGGAGCTCAGGATGCTGAACAAACTCCACCCTTTTATTACCTTCTATTTTATCAGGGGACTGGGTCAGATTGTTAGAAGAGTTCAGCTGTTATTTAGGAACCAAGGAAAAAAAAAAACCCAACAAAACCAAAATCCCAAACCTGCTCCTGTGGCTCAGTGAACAGGGTATGCTAACACAGCTTCCAGACCAAGGCTGGCGGAGAGCGTGGGCACCTCCGTGCGTGCAAGATTTCGGGGAGCTAAAAAGGCAGCTTGAAGCTCTCCTGAAAACCCCAGCCTGCGTCTTGCAACAAGTCAGGGATCAAGCCGAGCTGTTCTGCTGCTCTTAAGAGCATGTCGACTCTCACTCTAAAGCTTCTTCTCGGGGGGGGTTTGGGCTCTACTCTGCCTGGAGGGCAAGCCCCAAGAAAACACCTCCGTGACTCCACACTCCAATCTACCCGACCTACGGAGGGGTAGCAGATGCTCACCGACCAGCCGGGGCTGTCCAGCAGTTCGGGGAGGGAAGGTCTAGCTTTGGTAGGATCTAAAGAAACAGGAAGATAAAAAAAATAAAATAAAAAAAGAAAAAAAAAGAGATGGACAAAGTGTGCGGGGAGCCCCGGGGAAGGGAGGGGAGGCCGAGGAAAAGGCTGCGGGAGCCGGGCCCGGTTGAAGGGCCGGCCAAGGAGGGGGTGCGGGGAGGCGGTGCGTCCGGGGGTTGGGAGCGAGGAGGGGAAGACGGGGAGGGGGTGCGGGCCCGGTGCGGGGAGGAGGCGGGGGAAGGCCCGGCCGCCGCGGCGGGAAGAGTGCGCAGCACGTCTCTATAGCAACCGCCTCCCACCCGGGCC